TCCTACACATCAATTTATACTTTGGTTAGCAATATAGAGAAGACTAGCTACAACAGAAAGACTACAGAAGTTCGACATAAATGTGCCCTTGGAATGCAACTATTATGAAGATGCCATAGAGAAACCTTTGATCGTCTCTATTTCGAGTGCCCTGTAACCAGAGCCTTATGGGCTAGATTACTGAAATGGATGGGCATAAACAGGCAAATAGGAAGCTGGCAGCAGGAACTTACATGTGCAAATGGATGGGCAACAAAGAGGAATGGTTATGGAGCAATAATTAGCTGTGTTTTTGCAATGGTGGTCTATGCCATATGGAGAGAAAAAAATACTACCAGATTTCAGGATACACCATACAAATGTGATAGAGGGTGCAAAGAGATTGGCTTATACATTCATATCATAGGAAGAGACTTGAAGAAGTGAAAGGAGGCATTGAAGGTGATAGATCATCTGCCATGAGTCTCTTGTTTTAGATTCTTTCCTTGTTTTGTTTAAGTGAATAATTAGTTATTATAGTAGTCTTTAATTCAGGCTAGGAAGTTTTTGGTAGAAATTTGAGAAGTGGATGGTCAACATCTACTTGATTTTGTAATTACACTTTTTTGGTATCAATACAAGTTGATTGTTTGACCAAAAAAAAATGATGAATATTTAAAATCTATCCCCATTCGAATATATGAAATTATTTATGAATTAGACATAATATCCATACAGATCAATAAAATAGTATCACTTATTTAATTAAATCCATACATAATATCTCATAATTCCATTAAAAAGTCATTTTCAATCATAAAAACTAATTATAATTCAATAGATGAAAGGAATTTTTTTTAATTTGAAAATTAATATTAAAAATAATTAAGATCTAATAAATAAAAAATAAAATTTTAAATTATTTTCAATACGTCACGAATAATTTATCCTTTTCCAATAATTCAATTAACTTCATAGTATATGAATACTTGTACTTGGATAGATAAGAATCTGATACCCAGCCCTACCCCCGTGATCATTGAGGATACGCGGAGGCCTTAACTACAATTATCGTAAATTCACAAGGGCAAATCCGTCACCGAAGTTTGTATAAATATCCGACGATTTTCTCTACAATCCTTCCACAACCATCATCTCTCAAATTGGGGTTTTATCTCTGGTTTTTCTTCTTCAACAATCGTAATTTCTCTGTAAGTATTCTAATAAAACAATCAAATTTTGTTATATTTGGTTAAAATTGTTGATGAATTTGTTGCTGATTCGTATGTTTCGTTTGTGTAGGGTATCGATAATCTTGGAGGTTGATTTTAATTTATTTAGAAAAGTCAGATTCAAACAAAATCTGAGAATTTTTATAATTGTGAGTATTCTATTTGTTTTTATTGATATCTCAATTGTAAATTTATTTTATGGCTGTAGGGACGTCTTAATTCGATATAAGGCGTTTTTTTTTTAAAATTCCATAATGTTGTTTATGTTTAGGCCTTGTGTGTCCATTGTAGGCCATTATTTGGTCTTTTTTGCACTTATAGATTTGATTTTAGGGAGTCGGTATAGTTTTTAGGTTAATTTTCATGTAGATAATGTAATTGATTAAATTTTTGAGTGGGATGCACACACATAATTTGGTAGAAGAAAATTATGACTATAATTTGACTAAATATTGAATGACTATCAAATTATTGAATTCTTTATGCTTCTAAATATTGAAATTGAATGACTATAGTCATAATTTGATAGAATAATTTTTTTTTAAAACAAGATTCAGATGTTTAGGAAATACAGAAAGTAAAATAAGATATGAGCTTGTGGATTGTAGAAATACTGAAGAAATTTAGATTGAAAGGACTTTCCTCTTCAAATTAAAAGATTTTGAGCAAGATTTTCTTTTTAATTAGATACTTTGAACTAGCTGTGTTGTGTCTCGCTTTTTGTTTCTTTAGGCCAATGCAGGTAAACTTTAAATAAAATTTTTTCTACTTGTGTTAACTTGGCATTTTGTGTCTGTCATGAAAATAAACTGAGACCTGTTTGCAATGTTAAAAAGGATGTTTGCTTTATATGTTGAAAAGTTTTAACGGAAGTATTTATAGTTTCTATGAGTAAAATTTGCACTTTGTGAGGAATATTATCCTAATCTTAACATGTACTTCTGGTAGAAGTACATGGTATACAGTGATAGGAATTTTACTTCGCCAAACCGTGAGCTTAATTAACATTTTTCTCACATATAAGTTTGCACTCTTTGACTTTAAGGGAGAAGATATGTGGGGTACCACAGAAGTATGCTGCACTTATGTGTGTGGTTGCTCTCTTTTGTTCCCCCTCTCACTTGTTGATTGTAGGCTACACAACTGCTGTAAAACCTTTGTTGGCCAACTATCAGCAACTCCTTTTAGTTTTAATGGCTACTAAGCTGCAAATTTTCATTTACTTTTCCTGTTTCATGTCTTGGTATTATGAAATAGTGAGCCATTTAATGTGGTATTTGTTTGTCATACTACTCTGTAGTTCGTTGTTCATGGGGATGTATGTGTGTGTTATTGTTGACATTAAATATATGTCCATTTAATACATACTGCTCCAGTAATATTGTTGATGTTATCATCTCTTAGAATTCCATTAAGGATAATTGATCACAAATTCTAGTTAAAATGTTCATAAGTATATTTTTGTGAGCCTCTAGTTATTATTTATGGCTTTTCCTTTTTCATATTTGTGAGGCATTTGGTTTTGTTTCTGATAATCTTTAATCTTCTTTTTCGCTTGACCTCTTGGATGACACAAGTCTAGAATCTAATCTATTTGTAGTTTCATTGATCATCTGTCTGTGTATGATATTATAAACTACAGAGGGAAACCCTACCTATACATATGCCTTTCTGCATTCTTACACTCAGTATGTAATAAGTGGATACATTTGATTTTAGGTTATCTGAATCTTTACGTGTCATTTTAGAGTCCCGCTAAAACTTTTGCTGTTGTTTGCACTTTACCATTGTGTCTGTTTAGTTGCCCTTATTCCGTCACCTTTCTCAAAAATAAAAACTTTGTGAAGCTTTAGTTTTTTTATTGGCAGATCCAGGTGAATGATCTAATGGAGTCTGAAGGTGGGAAGAAGTCTAGTAGTAAATCCTCACTCTACGAAGCACCCCTCGGCTACAGTATTGAAGACGTTCGACCAAACGGTGGAATCAAGAAGTTCAGATCTGCTGCTTACTCCAACGTAAGTATCTGGATTTCATTTGTTTTGGATATGATCATTATAAAATGAGCATTAAGAATTCTATAATTCTGATTACTAGCACTTTCTTGTTTTTCATATGTGCAGTGCGCTCGCAAGCCTTCCTGACATTCCTTACGCTTCTATCTAGCACGTGTCTCCTGGCACAAAAAATCCCAAAAAAAGTTCTTCTTTCTATTAGCTCGTGTTAAACCCTCGCTCCTTTTTCCCCTCCTTCAGCTGCTTTCTGCATCTGCTCTCCTTGGTTGTGAACAATTTCCTCTAAAAGATCATTAGTTGCTGTGAACATTTTTTCATCATGGAAGTGGCATTGCCAGTTTCTGCCATTGGTTTTGAAGGTTACGAGAAGAGGCTTGAAATTTCATTTTTTGAGCCTGGCCTTTTTGCTGATCCTGAAGGAAAAGGACTTCGATCACTGTCAAAAGCACAATTGGATGAGTTCCTAGGACTTGCTGAGTGCACCATAGTTGATTCTCTTTCTAATGAGTGTGTTGACTCCTATGTCCTTTCTGAGTCGAGCCTTTTCATTTTTCCTTACAAGATAATCATCAAGACCTGTGGTACCACAAAGTTGCTTCTCTCAATTCCGGTCATCCTGAAGTTGGCTGATACCCTTTCGCTCAAAGTACAAGCTGTGAAGTATACCCGTGGGAGCTTCATCTTCCCTGGTGCCCAGTCATTTCCTCATCGTCATTTCTCCGAAGAAGTTGCGGTCCTTGATAGCTACTTTGGAAATCTTAGTTCAGGCAGCAAAGCTGTAATTTTGGGCAGTCCTGACAAACTTCAAAAATGGCATGTTTACTCTGCCTCTGCTGGACCTATTCAGACTAAGAACCCTGTCTACACTCTTGAGATGTGCATGACTAATTTGGATAGGAAGACGGCTTCTGTCTTTTACAAGACTGAATCAAGTTCGGCAGCTCAAATGACAATTAGATCTGGCATAAGGAAGATCCTCCCAGACTCCGATATATGTGATTTCGAGTTTGATCCTTGTGGTTATTCCATGAATTCTATTGAAGGAGCTGCGCTTTCTACTATTCATGTTACACCAGAAGATGGTTTTAGTTATGCTAGCTTTGAAGCAGTTGGGTATGATTTGAACTCCTCGAGTCTCGGGTCGCTGGTTAGGAGGGTGCTGACATGTTTCCAGCCCGATGAGTTTTCTGTTGCTTTACATGCTGATGATGTTTCTTGTGAGCTACTGGAGCGTATTTGCTCTTTTGAAGTTAAGGGCTACTCTCACGCCGAGTGGAGCCCAGAAGAACTTGGCAAGGGTGGTTCTATTGTCTACCAGAAGTTCACTAGGAGTTCCCTCTGTGGATCTCCTAAATCCGTTCTGCATGACTGCTGGAAAGAGGAAGAGAATGAAGAAAAGGAGGTGTGTTGAGGGCCGTTTAGTTCAATTACCAGTTCCATTTGCAGATGTTTTATTATGTTCGGTTGCGTTGCTCCTTAGTTCTCCAAATAATGGGCTTATGTCCTTGGAATTAGTAATGAAAACTGTTAACTTAGTTTGGTCTTTAGGTGTTCCACCTAAAGCCCTTTTACTTGTATATTGGATTATTACCGCATTTTGTTGTTCCAGACTCGTTTGTTATTTGGTTATTCCTAATAAATGTGTGTTGCCCACCCACTTAAGATGTGTGATTTTATTTTTAATTAGTTGTTTTTTTTTTCTTCCTGGATTTGTTTTTAGTTGCTAATTTGATGTTATGATAGTGAAAATTATGTCTATACCAATAACTCTTACAACTATTCAAGCAAGTCATATATTTTATATTAGGTTCATACAACAAAGTGGAGTATGTAAAAAGGTAGAACGTCTACATTGACAAAAACACACTGCTATGGCGACTTGGCGTTTGCATGAACAACCAGTGAGAGCTAGAATAAATCAGGCACCAATGATTGGGTTACCTGAAGCATCCACCATCTCAATATTATAAAAAGATAGTAAACTCGACAAGGCAAATACTCCCCCTGCCACTGCTACTGAAAATATCGCCAGCTTGTGACATAATAATGCTATCTTTGGCTGGTTTTCCTTCATGGATTCCGACGCCATCGAACCTGAGAATGCAAACATGAGAGAAAACACAAATGCTTGAAAGAGAAGAGGCTTTCTTGTGAATATCACAGTTGGCACTAAATCTTCATTTATCCTCTCGAATGGAAGCTGAAATATTGCAATAGCCGTCAGAAATGCAATTCTGTATAAAGCATCTTGAGTGCAAGTTGTGCCTGTGGGAAGAAATATATTATCTTTGTTATTCAAAGATTGCTTTGTGGAGGAATCATCACTTGTTACATTCATCGTATTGAAAGTCTTGTGAAAATATTTAAGGAATTGATATGTGTATATTACTATGAATTTCATTGAAGGAAATACCCTTAACATGTTATATATATAATGGGAATGAAGGTGTAAAAGCAAAAAAAGTGGGAAATGCCATAGGAAAGAGTTGGGCGTTTCTTGGTACTTTCGCTGTCACAACCACACGACATTTAAAAATCAATGCTTGGAAATTTCCACGAAATGGTTCCTTTGGAAAATTATTTCATCCGTTCACTTTTACTAGTTCATTATATCATTAAAAATAAATATTCATTATACTTATTTAATTTAGAAAATCAAGATATAATTTATCATTTAATTTCTAATTTACCTTTATTATTAGCTATAGTTAGGATGATATAATAAAATTATCATTTTATTCAAGGCTCTTTACAAGATGTGTCAATTCAATACCGAATAAGTAAAATTGATGAGTCTCAGTTTATATGGCATATTTTCCTTTTTAGTCAGCCGCAAAAAAAGGACACATTTATATATTTAGTACTCCAGTCGTTCCTATTTATATGTTGCAATTTTAGAGTTTACGTCCCTTAAGAAACTAGATAAGTTTACCATTATATCATTATTTAGTGTTCTCTTGAAGTCAAGTTTCAATAAATGAATGTAGATTAATTTGTTTTAATTAATTAAACTGACCAATGAACATGAATTAATCATTTAGTTTTCCTATAATTGTCAAATTCATTCCTTCAAGGCTAATAACTTTTAAGGGTAAAATATGACGAATAATGTCATTTATGTATTTGTTTTGTGAAATAACAAGTATTGAGAAACATCTATTTTTAGTAAGGACGACATATAAATAGGAACGGAGGGAGAAACAATTTAACTTTAAAATACCTATTTTACCCTTAAAATGATTTATAGCCACACAAATATCTATCACTTATTTTAGACCATAAATTTCAAAATTCTTTCTTTCTTTCTTTTTTAAACTATATATCAAGTCAAACTAACACTTACAAAATGGGACCGAGGAAGTATATGTTTCTATTGTCAAATATGCTTACGAGTAAATCAAACTATTGAATTTTACGTAGAAAATATATGTTTTGCATTCATTAATTTGTTGACTATCCTATGTATATAGTTTTTTTTTTCCAACAACATGACCCTTCAGTTTTGAGTATTTATGTTTCCATTCATTTCCTCTCGAATGGAAGCTGAAATATTGCAATAGCCGTAAGAAATGCAATTCTGTATAAAGCATCTTGAGTGCAAGTTGTGCCTGTGGGAAGAAATATATTATCTTTGTTATTCAAAGATTGCTTTGTGGAGGAATCATCACTTGTTACATTCATCGTATTGAAAGTCTTGTGAAAAAAATTGTTTAAGGAATTGATATGTGTATATTACTATGAATTTCATTGAAGGAAATACCCTTAACATGTGTTATATATATATAATGGAAATGAAGGTGTAAAAGCAAAAAAAGTGTACAACAGGGAAATGCCATAGAAAAGAGTTGGGAGTTTCTTGGTACTTTCGCTGTCACAATCACACGACATTTAAAATCAATGCTTGGAAATTTCCACGAAATGGTTCCTTTGGAAAATTATTTCATCCGTTCACTTTTACTAGTTCATTATATCATTAAAAATAAATATTCATTATACTTACTCAATTTAGAAAATCAAGATATAATTTATCATTTAATTTCTAATTTACCTTTATTATTAGCTGTAGTTAGGATGATATAATAAAATTATCATTTTGTTCAAGGCTCTTTACAAGATGTGTCAATTCAATACCGAATAAGTAAAATAGATGAAGAAAGCACTTTATCTGTCTCAGTTTATATGACATATTTTCCTTTTTAGTCAGCCACAAAAAAAGACACATTTATATATTTAGTACTCCATTCGTTCCTATTTATATGTTGCAATTTTAGATTTTACGTCCCTTTAAGAAACTAGACAAGTTTACCATTGTATCATTATTTAGTATTCTCTCGAAGTCAAGTTTCAATAAATGAACGTAGATTAATTTATTTTAATTAATTAAAGTGATCGATGAACATGAATTAATCATTTAGTTTTCCTATGTTTGTCAAATTCATACCTTCAAGGCTAATAACTTTTAAGGGTAAAATATGACGAATAATGTCATTTATGTATTTGTTTTGTGAAATAACAAGTATTGAGAAACATCTATTTTTAGTAAGGACGACGTATAAATAGGAACGGAGGGAGAAACAATTTAACTTTAAAATACCTATTTTACCCTTAAAATGATTTATTACCACACAAATATCTATCACTTATTTTAGATCATTAATTTCAAAGTTCTTTCTTTCTTTCTTTCTTTCTTTTTTAAACTATATATCAAGTCAAACTAACACTTACAAAATGGGACCGAGGAAGTACATGTTTCTATTGTCAAATATGCTTACGAGTAAATCAAACTATTGAATTTGACGTGGAAAATATATGTTTTGCATTCATTAATTTGTTGACTATCCTATGTATATAGTTTTTTTTTTCCAACAACATGACCCTTCAGTTTTGAGTATTTATGTCTCCATTCATTTCCTCTATGATTAAAACTAAATATTTATTTTATTTATTTAGTTTTAACAATTAAGAGATTATTTACTATTTTTATATGTATTTTATCTTTGTTATTAAATATTATTCATTTCTTAACATTTCAATAACATAATTATTTTGGGTGACATAATTAAATTTATTAATTTTTAAAATATTATGTCAAATTAAATATGAACGAATATTATTTAGCTTATTGGTATTATTCTAAATTAAATAAAAATAATAATACACTATTCTAAATTATTTTTACAGCTATAGTGTCACGACTCAAAATCACAAGTCGTGATGATATTTATGTTACCAATCGATAGGTAAGCCAACCCGATAAGTTAATCAATTCCACTTAAAATATGAAAATGTAAGTAGCAAGCAAATATACTGCATACTAAGTTTTTAAAATAAAATATGGAAAACTGAAATATCACCCCAAGATTTAGTATCATAAGTACAAGAACTTCTAAACTAGGATGCAAGTCTAGAACTAAGTGATAAATCTAGACGTAAAAAATATCCTGTCTGAACACTAATAAATAATAACTAAGACATAGTGAGAAGTGGGGGCCACATACTTCGTGATAGGAATGTCATAAACTTTGAAAAAATTCGATGTTGTTTGCATTATTATGGATAAACTAACCAAATCAGCACACTCTCTGTTGATTTTGATTTCATATAATGTGGTGAAATTGTCTACTATTTACTTTCAAGAGATAGTGTGTTTATATGGTGTTCATATACAACAAGTTGAGTATTCGTTGGATCTTAGCACAAATTTTCATTCACAGACAAATGATCAGTCCAAGTAAATTATTCAAAGTGTTGAAGGAAATATTGTAGTTGTGCATTATTGCTTTTGTTTGGTCGGTGAAACTAATTCTTATCATTAGCGAAGTTTGCTTTAACAAAAATTACCATTTTAGCATTCAGATAGTCCCACTTGAGGTTGTGTATGATAGAAAATGTTGTTCTTCGATTTATTAATTCGGTGTAGTGATGGTTAGACCTTAGGGCATGAATCTTTTGAGAAATTTGTCCGATAATGTCAAGTTGATTCAAGATAGACTACTCACAATCCAGAATAAAAGAAAAGTTATGCGAATTGAAAGGTTTGTGATCTGACGTTCACAATTGGAGAGAGATTTTGTTGAAAGTACGTCCATGAAGGGTGTCATGAGGTTTGGGAAGAAGGACATACTCAACTCTAGATTCATTGATCCGTTTGAGATATTTCTACATTTTTAGAGAAATAACTTATGAGTTGGATATGTCACCAGACTTATCAAGTATTCAATTTTTCCATGTTTTGATGTTGAGGGAGTATTGTATTAATGGTTATCATGTGATTCAATGTGACTCGATACAGTTCGACTAAGAATTTGACATTTGAAGAAGGTCCTAGAGTTATTATGAATGGAAGATTAGAAATCCACTTGAAAGGTTGAGTCGAACATTCAGAGAAGATATTCTCAACTATTCGATACTACATGCACCATTTTTCTCTTTATGTTCGATGACAAACATGTGTTTTAGTGGTGGATGATGTAACGAGTCTCTTAGTCGTTTTATGAATTTTTAGCAATTTTTTTATATTAATCTTCTTAGTAAGTTTTATAAATAATTTATGATTTATGGGAATTAGCGATTTTCAGATTAAATAAAAAATTCTTTTATTGTTAATGATATGATAATAGAAATTAAAATAAAATAAAATAATGGGACAAAGCCAATTTAAAAAAAGAAAAGAAAAAAAAGGCTAAGCCCAAATAATAATACATAATAAATTAATGGTAATAAGGGTAAAGAGCAGCAATCTGCCCTCGTAGAAACAGAAAACGCCACAACTAGAAAAAAAGAAGAAGAAATCACGCAGTGCAAAAAAAGAAAAGAAAGGGAGAAAAGAAAAAAAAGAAGAGAAAATTGAAATTTTCATCTCAAAGTGCTAAGATAATGATTCTCGTCCTTTATTAAATTTTTATGTGATCATGTATAGATTTTTATGGTATAAACGTGTAGAATTTGGGTTGAATTAAGAAAATATAGCCCTAGGGTTCTTAGAACAAAATCTTGATTCGGGGGTCGAATAACGATTCCTTTTAGCTAAAATTTTGTGTGCGAGTTTGTTTTATCATGAGTGAACATAATCTGAAAGAAAATTTCAAATTCGAATTTGATGGCTCAGTATGACTTTTTGACCTGGTTTTCGAGCGAGAACCAAATATAGTAATATGAGGGTCATTAGATTCGTATTCCTATGAGGATTATATTTTTCATTAGATTTGTATTCTTATGGGGATTTTGTACATATCAAATATGTAATCCTCATAAGAATACAAATCTAATGACACTCATATTACTATATTTGGTTCCAGCTCGAAAATCGGGTAAAAAGTCATCCCGAATCACCAAATTTGAATCTGAAATTTTCTTTCAGATTATGTTCACCCATGATAAAACAAACTCACATGCA